TATTCAATATGGTATACCAATTACTACTAAAAACATTTGTTTATTGAAACTAGTAACCGTTGAGTCATTTATTCACTCGCTTAATTGATATAACTGTTAGGATTTGTGAAGTAATCACTGGTTGAATAATTAAGTGGTAATATTTGTTTAGGTATTAGCATAACCTTGTATTTATAAAATCATACGGAACCATTCATTACAGGCACTTTTGTTTTAAATGTCGATTGATCAAGAGCACAACATTCGAAACTAACCTAAACAGTCAGTTCCACAGTTCGCACGGCTTTAGTTTGTAAACTACAGATCTCAGAGATGTTAAAGTGAGGGCTTGAATAATTGACCAACTAGTTACAGTTATTGTGGTTTGAGAAATTTATTGACTGTTTATTTCCCAAATCGTTTGTAAAGTTTCCTCACAGATTTTGTGTAATGCCTACTTTCGCTTTCAATAAAATATTCAAACATGGATTTATTTTGATTTGAGTGACGGGACAGTATGGAATATTCAGTGGTGATCATAGTCAATCTCGACTCGGTCACCACTGAACCCCTGTGAGTAGTTCGCAGCATGAAAGATCGTTATCGAATATTATTGAAAATCCTGTAAAAAGCAATTAAATTAGGAGTGAAAGGTAGCACTGAGGAACCACGTGATACGTGAATACTCAGTGAAGATAAATAGAATGCTTTTTTCGAACAGCTTCTACATAATGCAGTGGTAACTGGTAGGAAAATAACAGTCGATGCCCACCTGTCGGTGAATCTGTAAAAAGTGGGTTCAGCATCAAACGAAGAGTATACTATTAGAAAAATTTTAGCTCTAATCTCACCACATGTGTGTCGTTCGTAATTATTTGTGAATAATTCATTCAGCTTACTCTGCTCATTAAACACTCATAGGAACCTCGCACTCGTTAAATCTTTTCTGATCTCCCACCAATAATATTAGGCGATCCAGTTTTCCTAATGAATGGGAACATTTAAAAATCTTTGTTTGCCTTCATTGGTAGATAATCAAATAACAAACTTAATGTCCGCGATTATACCAATTTTGAATTACTATGAGGTAGGTCTGGCTATTCATATCAAATGCTCACTTCTTAGCTGCTTCAGCAGTAGCATACACACATCTATTTACTTCCAAACACAGGACTGGGGAAAAAGTTACCGGATCCATACGTAGTTGCTTGCCAGGACCTTTAAAAACTAGGTTGCCACTTTAAGTGTCTTCCACATTTTATGCTTGAGTAGTATGTATTCACTTGACCCATTATTATTACTTTCTAACCTCGAAAATATATCTTATGCACATTTCCCTTCACATCACTTTACAGTCTACTGATTAGTCTTTAAAGAGAATGCACAGTAACAGTGTAGCCGCCTGTAATAAAACCAATAACAACTAAGAAAACTGGTGGCGGCTTAAATGCAAGGGTCAATAATAAATCGAAAATCCAAGTTTCTAGCAACAAGGTTATGACATTTGATAGTGAACCTCCGAGTAATGTGTATACTTCGGCAACGTGAGAAGACTGAAGAATAAAGTAGAAGAAATCAAGAATATATGTTTTTGGATGGGTCTCTACATAATAATCCTAGCCGGAACATTGCTATCCTCTAACAGTACAGATGAAGACGTTAGCTCGCAAGGCATGAAACTTTCGATGCTATAGGGTTCAGAAAACAGGTTTGGTGACGGTATGTGTATGTACTAATAACCATTTCGAAGTATTTACATCACATAGTACCAGACCAACCAATTCGACATAATCAAGCTAGTAAAGGTTCTGCAAGAAGGGCAGAAATTACTTGATTGTAGGGTTCACTGGTCCCCTTCGGGTAATAAAGCACAGAAATGTAAGTTGATTGGAGCAGTACTGCAACTACCACGGCTGGCTCATCATTTAAAAGTTCCAGACTGACTGAGCATATATGTAGCGCTACTAGATAGACTGAAGACAAAAACTCCTCAAACTTCGATTCTTTGCTAACAAATGGTCAGATCCTAGTCGAGGATTTTGATGTTGATACATCAATAGGAAGTAAAGAATATGGCACAGTCATGTTTAACATAATAATATATCTATTCTCAAATAGCAGCGTTTTACAAGAGGCATGCTTGTTTACAGGTTAGATCGAATCTGTACAAATACTACCACTTTTACTGTAAAAGTTAGCGAAGTTAGTTTGCAGACAAGAGTCTGTTTCTGATAGCACATTGACACCGTTTCACTGACTGGAACAGTTTGATGCTGCCACATTTTCAACAAGTGAGTACAAATTCGGAAAGCGCATAATATAGTTCTTGAGAGTTCGGATTTGCACCAATAAGGAGTGAATTTTCGGGAAGTGTTGATTGGAATGCACTTGATACAATCTGTGAGCTAGACGTGCGCGTACAGAAGGTGTATTTTACGTGGAGACAGCATAGATGTTCCACTGCGAATAGGGTTCTTAGAAGGGACAAAATAGAGCAAAACGAGCAACGGAGCAATTATATATGTATAACCAGAGCACTGCCTAACCGTTCATGATGAATCAGATAGTGCGGTGGTAAGTCTAGATAAAGTTCATAAGGACCACTAAAATTAGGACAAATTGCAGTAATATAGCTTACAGAATAAGGAATGCATCAATGTCGAATAAAGGGTTTTGGAGTGTGTCAGGTTGATATAAGAGATGTTGAAGTTAGGAGCTGGATGTCTGTACACTGAAACCGGAATTTCAGTAAGAACAGTAATGTTTGTGAAAAACATTGTCATGGTAATAAACAAAACACCCAGACGAGATGAAAACGAGCCGTACCTTTGCTACACCAGGGCACGTCACACATTCATGAAAGAACATCTTCTACATGCCACATGACCGCGAGAATGGTAGAGGCCAGCAGTAGATGACAGTTGGAAAACAGTGAGACAGCGTCCAGTATACTGTCCTAAATAGTGTACCGTAGGCATGTAGCACACCGCGAAATAGCAGAACTTGGGTCAAGCGAGGAACTGGACGCTTGCTGCAGATGAAAAGGAGAATTCGGTACAAGTGGACGCTCTATCTGCAAGAATTCAACCATACTCCTTACCTGTCACTGAGAAACAGATTCAAAGCCAAGTTTCGAAGTGATAAGGGACACTTCCAGGCAAACACATAATATCTGTATAGGATCGTGACAAAAAGTAAACCGACTAACCATAGGGTTTGTTTCCTCAAATGTCTTAACGAATTGGAGGTGGTTGAGATCTTTTATGTCAACTTTACACTCCGGCCACGCTAGTTACCGGCAAGTCTAGAGTTCTACACAGATCCAGTGCCAGCCAATGTCCCAAACAATATTCAACTTACTGCTGGCCAAGTATATGAAAACCCAGGTCCATGCACCAAGGAAAGTCGAAAGAATGTGACTAAATCTTCTCAGTTATCCTGAAACAGTACGCGAAAACCATCAGTTCATTGGTATGTGACCTGTTCACTTTTTCATATGAGTCACAGTAACCTACAATTTAATGAGAATATGTTAACTTCCATTCTTTATCGGAGGGGATAGGACAGACCAGGTTTTATACGCACCAGTCATTCGGTAGTTGGTGGATATGAAGGAATCTTGGCAGAGAAACTACCTAGAGAGCGGAAGTACTATACAGAGGCAAATAGTATACAAGCAAGCTGGCCAGTCTCAACATTAGGAGTGTCACAAGGGACTACCTTAATTCACCTCCTATTGACCGGTTAGATAAACTCGGCTCAGTGGCACTGGTCTACATAAATGATGAAAAGATCTGTAGGTCCATAAGGAGCGAAGAAAATTCATTTGAGTTTCAAGATGACTTAACTGTCTACATGTAAGTATAGTCCCAAAAGTCTCTTCGGAGAGGCATCTCGGTCTAATAAACACTGAGAACCTAAAATCCACTTCAAGCATCGTGTGTGGTGCACCCCAGGATAACACAACTCTTCACCTGGTGCACTCATACAAGAATTGTTCCTAAATCCTTTAGATCCACGTACGAACGCATCCTGAAGTCCACTATGTCGTTGTTCCTTCTCTCCTTAAAAGATATATTAACCTCCTGGATAAAGTATAGATTCGAGCAGCCAAACAGATAATAGGATTAAAGAATAAACCTTACGAAGAGAAACTGTAAGAATGAATTTTTCCTGACTAGTCATAGAGAATTGGAAGTGATCTGATAATGACATAAAACATATTAAGTACAGGAAATCACCGTCGCACGAGCAACCCAGCTACGGCATCTCCACCAAGTTCCGCTAAGGAAATTTCAAAAATCGCATACCATAGAGTGAACAACCAGGTACGTGTAATAGTTGTCTTAACTTGAAATTCTGTACTTCCCGAACTGACCACAGCTTCCTCAGTAGCAAGCTTCTAGAAGAAAATTTAGAAACACGTACTCGCATACGGATTGTCATCTTCCACTCGGACCAGTTGTGCCTGATGTGTTTTGAAAACTGACTGTCATTTTCTCAGATAACTAACTTCATCTATCTTGCTTATTGTCTCTGTCTCTTCTTCGATGTTTACACTTGTGTCCTCTCACACAACAACCGTCTTGTGTCCCTTACCTAAGAAAAATTAGGTATGTCCTAATTATAAACAACAGTGATATGAAACCTGCTGTAAACAAAAATCGAATAGTAGTACTTTTAAACTCTTCGATATTTGTAACTCATCTTTTATATAGTTATAGGTGTCAGTGTGCTTACAAGCTATCAGCAGGAAATATCGAATTTTCATGCCCAAGTTACTGTAATCTTCTAAAGCTCGGAATAATCCAATATTTAGTGCTACTAAATATTTTGTCACTTACAACAAGGCACTTCTCATTTCATTTAGTATTACTTTATATCATTTGTAGCATATGAATTATTATTTTAGCTACAAAATTAAAAGTGATTTATCCCTAGAACAGGTTTATACTAGCTCGAGAAAAAGATATTGGATATTGGATATTAGAAGTTCATTTACAGCTGCAAACTAAGATGATCTTTGTGTGACTTGTTTGAAGCTTGCGCTACCAACTTCTAGCTTCGATTGTCAGTATGTCTTAACTCTTGTATTACTTCTGGTTGTTGTTCACTGCCTTCATAGCTAAATTAATTTTTCATTTACATGCTTACTGAGTCGTCTACTTTCCTCTCCAAGTTAACGACAGATACTACTCTTTTAACTCACAGAGTACCTTCACGATAAACGTCAACTTAGCAAAAGCCGACGTTCGATCAGGAAGCGTTTTTAAGCATTTTTCGTCAGCCTTTGCTACTTAGACTTATTTGTAACTAGAGTATGCTTAAAATTATACAACTGGAATATTTTGAATTGTATAAATTATTGCAAATATTCAATCATTTAAAAGTAGATAATTATCTGTGTGCTATGTAAATTTGTCAGGCTTACTTCCAGGTAGCTCGAGGTGAACTGGTTGAAATGATGCGCTATTTAGTAGTGTGTGACGTTTATATTTGGTATTGGTTTGCCTTTTATGTAAATCTCGACTCACATAGATATTTCCTAGAGTTTATAGATCTGTTTTTGATCCAAAACTCAATTCCTAGCCATATACAATGTTCATACATTGACAAACAGAGAGCTTTGGTTCGTGTAAATTTATTAAGCTTGAATAGTCAGCATCAGAATTGTACTGATAATCACTGTACACCCAATATTTTGTGTAGAACTTCTATGCAGTCTTAATTCATTTCCCGACTTGTCAACACTTCTCGTTTATTCTTTTAAATGACCAGAATAAATGACTGCCAGGAACACCGCCGTGTTTTGAGTCGTTCAAATTTTGTGCGTAGAGTATGATGATTTTGTCATGTGTAATGTAAGCGACAAAATGACTCGGAACAGTTCGTGGTAGCAACAATTCGCTCATTCCTCTTAATTACAAACTGTTTTTATTACTACCCTACTGGTTTATTCCCTTTAAGCGAACGTAAGGGCTATAAGTATTGAGTATCTTATACTATGCATTTTTCACTCTGGTATGAGGACTTACGTCGATCCTCATCTAGTCTGTTCTACTTTTTAATTGACTGGAAGGATTATCACTTCATTGGAGTTCCTTTTTTCATGAAACTATTGACTTAGGTTTTACAATGTTTATAAAGTTAGGGACGGTAATCTGTTTTTAATATTCATCAGTTTATATTAGATACTCTATTAAATATATCTGTTATTAAGTAAAACAAATGAAATAATATCAAAACATTTTACATTATAAACGAAAGATTGTTGATACAGTATTTTTAAAGGCTACAACCTCATTATTTTTATGGTAAGAACATGTCAAAAATGTGTTGTACTCTGTTCTGGATGATTATTTACCCCTCTGTCCATGTAATGAAATTTATTCCAACAAACATTGTATAAATATGCAGACTTCATAACCCAAAATTCTTCTCCTATAAGTCTAAAAATAAAACAGTACTGAAGAAAGTTTTTCTAGTTTTCAACTATCATAATACCAACTGCCTTACTAATGTAATATTTTCTCTCTTTCAGATTATTTCATAACCGAATTCTACACATTAAACGTTTGTTCTTTCTATATTGCACACAATGTGGTTTTTCAAAACAAATGGCTTCAAATTTTTCACAGCAGCATCAGTATACTGTAGTGTGTATTCTTCAGGATCTGATATGATAACTAAACATTGGAATTACAATTGGGATAAGTCACATGGTAAATGATGAATTTTTTTATCACTCGACAATGTTACTTATCATTTTTTATTGTTTATTATTATAGGTATACACAATGATCCACAGTTCGAATTTAAATCCAATACGCTTAATGTAGTGAAAAATCAACAACCTTATTATAAATTAATAATTTTTATACGTCATGGACAATATCATTTGAATAAAAAGAAATCTGAAGAAAAAGTTCTCACTGATATTGGTTGGCGACAAGCTTATGCTGCCGGTTGTCGACTTAGGGAAATGGGAATTAAGTAGGCTATACAATATGATTATGTAAATCATTCTCATACTTATAATTCACATTTATAAATTTTATCATCAAGTGATTAGCAAAAAAAGAAATTGAGTAAGCACGATAGATGAAGATAGTTATCTGAGAAAATGACAGTGGTAAGTACAAGCAATTTTCAAAGCATACATCAGGCGCAACTGGTCTGAGCGAGAGATGATAATCCGTATGTGAGTACGTGTTTGCAAAGTTTCTTCTCGAAGCTTATTACTGGGGGAGCTATGATCAGTTTGGGAAGTATAGCATTTCAAGATGGGATAACTTCTGCACGTACCGTGGTGTTCACTCTATGGTATGCGATTTTTGAAATTTCCTTAGCGGAACTTGGTGGTAATGCTGTAGCTGGGTTGCTCATGCAAGGGTGATTTATTGTACCTAATATGTTCTATGTCATTATCAGATCACTTCTAATTCTCTAATGACTTGTCAGGAAAAACCCATTCTTACAGTTTCTCTTTGCAAGGTTTATCCTTGAACCCTATTACCTATTCGGCTGCTCGAATCTACACTTCATCCAGGAGGTTAATGTATCTTTTAAGGAGAGAAGGAACAACGACATAGTGGACTTCATGATGTGTCCGTGCGTGTATTTTAAGGATTTAGGAACAATTCTTGTATGAGTGCACCAAGTGAAGAGTTGTGTTAGTCTGGGCTGCATCACACACGATGCTTGAGGTGGTTTTTAGGTTCTCTGTGTCTGTTAGACAGAGATGCCGCTCTGAAGAGACTTTTGGGAGTTCACTTACATGTAGATAGTTAAGTCAGCTTGAAACTGAAATAAATTTTCTTCGCTTCTTATGGACCTACAGATCTTTTTATAATTTATGTAGACTAGTGCCACTAAGCCGAGTTTATCTAACCAGTCAATAATGAGTATCAAGAATGGGAAGTGACTTAAAGTGGTCCCTTGTGACAATCCGCCAGTTTGTTTGCATACTTTTTGACTCTGTATGATACTTCCGTTCTCTAGGCGGCTTCTTATCCAAGGTTCCCTCGCGTCCACAAACTTCAGTGTGACTGGTGTGTAATAAACCTGGTCTTTCCTATCCCCTCCGATAAAGAACTAGAGTTAACATATTCTCATTAAAGTGCAGGTTATTGTGACTCATATGAATACGTGAACAGGTCACATACCGATGAACTGATGGCTTTCGCGCACTGTTTTAGGATAATAGAGCAGATTTTGTCACATCCTATCGACTTTTCTTGGTGCATGGACCTGGGTTTTCATAGTAACAGGCCAGCGGTAAGTTGAATATTCTTTAGGCCATTGGCTGACAGTGGATCTGAGTAGAACTGTAGACCTGTAGGTAACTGGTGTGACCGGAGTGTAAAGTTGACATAAAAGATCTCAGCCATCTCCAATTCAGTAAGATCTTTGCTGTTTGGACATTTGAGGAAGCAAACCCCTTGGTTCGTAGATGTACTTTTTGTCACGATTCTAAGCCGATATGTTGTGTTGGCCTATATTTTGTCGGCTAGCTTTGTCTGGAAGTGTCGCTTATCACTTCAAAACTTGGCATTACGTCTGTTTCTCAATAACAGGTAAGAACTATGGTCGAAAAGTTTGTAGAATCCTTTTTGAATGTTTTGTTTTTTGGAAAATCCCTCCATGTTTACATATTTTTGCTATGACATGACGGACTTTTTCTGTTGACATTTTTGGTATTTTATTTGATTCCAATTTGAGATTTTATCATTGTATATTGTTATTATTTCTATATTTTGTACTTATATTGAAGTTTTTTGTGTTTGCTTCTGATCTGTATATATGTTGTTTAAATTTGATCTTTAATATGGCTACTGCCATATTTGGATTGATGCAGTGGCCGCTGGACTTAGCGTCACTTATCTGTCACTGTGTCTGATACTCTTCGGAGTAATTGTACCCTGGAAGAGGCACTACTTCCAGACCGCTTTCTCCTAGAATTTTTGTCCTTTTTGATTTGGATTGGGACCCGGGACTGGGAGAATCGTACAGGAGTGCCCCTATTGGAACCCATTGGAACGGCCACTGTAGAAATTCATTTACAGTCTGGAAATATCTCTATGAACGATTATATTCTGGAAATATTCCTATGAACGTGTATATTCTGGAATTATTCCTATGAACGATTATATTCTGGAAATATTCCTATGAACGTTTATATTCTGGAATTATCTATTACCTTTTGATAAGAACAATTACAGTTGGATTATTAAGAATTATAAAGAAACATTTGGAATTTTAATCGTTTATCACACTAGACTTTCTTGAAAGAAGAAATTTGGATTATTTATCATATTCTTGAACTGAACTGTGGAATTACTATATTTTGTATTTGTTACTTTTCTTATACTGAACTTCATTTATGATGTCAAGTCGAAAGAAATCAAACACGAGGAGGGTGGAAGAGCTCGACGGATCACATAACTCTAAGCAAGTCGTTAATGATGAATTTTTTATGGGTAACCCACATGTTATGTCTGATACTTATTATTGTAAGTCACCTTTGGCAGGCATTAAGGAACCAGGATTAAGTGAGAGTTCTAAGGTACCAGAGGCCGATCAGATGCTTAGGACACCGATAGTAGGTATAGAACTACCTAAGGCCGAACTTTCATATTTTGATGGAAAGTCTCGCGACTACTTTAGGTTTATGCGCCAAATCGAAACGTTTATAGAACCCAGAATAAAAGATGACCAAGTTCGTTTATTGTATTTAATTCATTATTGTAAGGGAAAAGCAAAAAATGCGATTGAAGGTTGTATTATAATGGATCCACAAGCAGGATATAAGAGAGCTAAGGCCATCCTAAAACAGCTCTTTGGACAGTCGCATGTAATAGTCCGAGAAACCTTAGAGGACTTATTTAGAACTGGGAATGTAGATTTTAATGATCCTGAATCATTGACGAATTTGGCTATTAAAATGCAGAATGCTGCTTTAACTTTAGAACAGCTAAATTGCACAACGGAACTTAATTCCTTGGTTACTTTAGAACGAATAGTCAGGCTCTTACCTCGTCGAATGCAAGCCCAGTGGTCAGAGCTATGAATCAAGTGGGACGAAGAGGAGAGAGAGCCTAATTTCAATTATTTGACGGAATTTATTATGTCTCGTGCTAAGATAGCTAGTAGTAGGTTCGGAAGATTAGCTTATCGGGCTAAAACAGGAAATAATACGGAAGCTACTAGTGGTCTGCGTGCGAGACATGAGGATTTTTCGTTTCTACCTAAAGCACGCTCGGAAGATAAGAGAGTTGTCAATTATATCACGAAAGCATACGCTGATGAAGGACGAGTATGTGACCGTGACGATGTAAAACCTCTTGATGTGTATCCTAGTAAGAAGCCGGTTGGTGTAACAGATAAGATGGCTTTTCTAAGTATGGAAAAGAAAGAAAAGGGTGAAAAGTGTAGGCATCAAGATGGATCCGAAGTGTGTGATGATAAAAGCCCCTTAGCTGCTCGAAAAGCCTGGAATGGTTATTTGGATTCGAGTAATCAGAGGTTAATGAGTTCAGTAAATATGAGTAAGGCCCAGGCAGGATTGTCTGAACGGAATAAAGCCTATTTTCGGAACCCTTCAGTTAGGGTAAATTATATAACTGGACCTAGAGTAGATTCTAGGATAAGTGATGGTGGTACTGTAAAGGCTAAGAAGCCTAGGAGACAACATGATGCTACTATTATTAAGAAGCCTAAACCTCATGCTCTTTCGGATGCTATGACTAGCAATGGAAATAGTAGCCATCAGAATCCTAGTAGTGGCAGCGATAATAAGGAGACAGAAAGTGTCAGCAGTCCACTTATAGTGACTAGTCTATCAACTTCATCGAATGAGCCTCCTAGTGTTTCGACGTCATTGGACCTCGTCACGAATGTTAAGTTGATTGAAGATGCACAAGGTTGTGCAACTGTAACTGTTCCTATTCCGGTTGACTGTCAGTCGAGTGATGATGAGAAGAAAGTGTTTGATGGTAACAGCCAGTCTACAGTGTTGTGTGATGACGATGCTATTGATGAGCATATGTCTTGTGTCTCTGAAACGGATGCTAATGCAGACCGAATCGACGCGACTTGTCTGACAGAACGGAATCATTTAGACGTTGATAATAATCTGGATGTCACTGATGTGACAAATGAGTTACCGACGATGACGAATACTGATCAAACCTCCTCTGTATCAGGAGATGGAAGGACAAATATTGATCCCACGTTATGCTACTTAAAGTCTTCTGGAGACGATGAAATGTCAAAATTGGAGATCCCACCCTTGCATATTATCTATGGGTCAAGAATTTCTGTTGATAAGTTAGCATCACGGACTTCATTGTATCTGCTGATCGGAGCAAGTGGTGGTGGATTGGCGACTCGTCCCCATGATAGGGAATGTAGTTCCCGGATAGGATATGACCAGTTTTACGACGTGTTGTTCATGTTCGTGTGGGTTAATTGGGTAAGGTTTATACTACCGTTAGGTCATGCCACGATAGATAGAGGAATCAAGGGCCTGATGGGAAAGTATAGGTACCTAGTTAGCATGATAGGTCATATCCATGTTGGATGGCGGGTAGGCGTACTGCTGTAAGTCCTACACGTTATTCCGGTGTGGATTAGGGGATAATTGGGAACCCTAAATAAAGTGTCATTAACGCTTGCTCCTTTTGCATGGAGGGATTTTGCGGGCCGGTGTAGAATCCTTTTTGAATGTTTTGTTTTTTGGAAAATCCCTCCATGTTTACATATTTTTGCTATGACATGACGGACTTTTTCTGTTGACATTTTTGGTATTTTATTTGATTCCAATTTGAGATTTTATCATTGTATATTGTTATTATTTCTATATTTTGTACTTATATTGAAGTTTTTTGTGTTTGCTTCTGATCTGTATATATGTTGTTTAAATTTGATCTTTAATATGGCTACTGCCATATTTGGATTGATGCAGTGGCCGCTGGACTTAGCGTCACTTATCTGTCA